GGGAAAGGTCATCATAATAACGGTGAAATCTCACAGAGTTTCAATGGGAACATGAATTGATTCACGTAATTTGAAGTGCAACAGTACAAGGAATGTGTCAATTGAAAGATTTCTCAAATGTCCATCTAATTTTCTTTGCACTGCTCTATCAAATTTTCCAGCATTTGCACGTTAGCTTTTTCACAAGTTGGAGCCCACGTGTATCCCACAAAAGGAAAGGATAAAAGGCAGTCTGGTCCACGAAACATTATGTATTCACGCAAGATTTAGGGAAAAGCCGCACTCCAATGAAGTGTGATGTAGGCAGTTTACTCTAATGCAAGCATTTGCGACTGATTCCACAACTCGAACCCGTGATTTGTAGGTCACACATAGAGAACTTTACCGTTTCTTCACGGCTCCCTTCACGTGCATCCTACAATATAGTAAAAGATTTTAACAGTATGATATGATTTCATATTACTCCTACCTAGAAAACGGGCCTTAATGTTAAGTGATTACTTTTCTTTTATCCAACACACTGATGTTGAAAGTTGAAGCTTTAGTCTTCAATTCATGGCTTTGTAACTTTCACCAAATCTGTCATTTGTCAGTGACATAAATATTGTAAGCTATAGCCGTCTCCATTCACAAGCGTCCAAGCTAGAGCAGCTATATATATATGTTAGACAAAATGGAATATGACACAATTGTGATTTTGTTTAGAATTTATATATGTAGCCTCAATAGGGCCATAGATTAACATTTCTATTTAATTTGGCCGAACGTGAATATTCCATGAGTTTGAACATCTAAAATACCCATCAGAAACACGTGAATTTTCGACACACGTTTCTGTCGAGTATAACTGCGATAGATTTGGATAATTCTTACTGTTGCGCCATCGCTCCCTTTGGAAGATAAATCCTTGAATTGTAAACTTATTTTTCAATATCTTAGCTTTTCTTTGTTGTTCTTTTGCTTGGACAATTTGCTGTTAGGCACTTCAAAAAGGTAGGGGAAAAAAAAAAGATGAATGCGAAATTGATGAGGAATGGTATGAGAGGAAAATAAAGGAAAAAGGAATACAAAGAACCTAAATTGGACCACAACATGTCTGGCACATGAAAAATCATGAGAGCTCCAAACCAAAAGTTATTTCCAATATGTTACTATGTTATACATTTTGAACAATTATATTGATTCATCATATTTCTCCGTTTGTTGTTTTCAATTGATCCTTGAACCAGAATATAAACTCTCGATCCAAGCTATTTGCTAAGGACCACATAGTTCCTTAGAAAGTTAATTATAAGTTGCACCTAATTTGAACTTTATCACTCACTGCTTAATCTTTAGTCTTGTGATAGCATTATGATCTATAAATATTCTTTAGCATCCACAGTTTGCAAGATATCAATTTTCTTCCTTAATGTAAGTCTTGTAAAGTAGAAAAAATTATCTTAAAAACCAATAATATATCTTTAAATACCATAAGTCCATAACTATAACAATGCAGAATTAAACGTTCTACACTGTAGATATCGAAATTTTAACGGATCAAACTAAATCCTAAATTCAAGATACTACAAGACTCTTGAAATCCTAGGAGTCTATCCGTGTTTCTTGGAGATTACTCTACCCTAAACCCCTAATGCACACCTATATAAAGGAATACATATTCCTTTGAAGAGGCGTCTCAAAAATTCCATAAACTCTTGGCATATTCACAAAGAGATCAAAATATGGCCGGATACTTCTTGACAATCAAATAGTTCAAGAAGCTGGAGATCAAATACATCTCCAGGAGGTCTGCATCATCCTACATTCGATAAATACGCTGCTTCAGCCTTCGAATTACGGAGATAATCAGGAAAGAAGAATCAAGAAAAAAACAGAATTGTACTCACAATTGATTAGTAAAAAAATATTTCTCTTATTTTGTGATTGCGGTTTATTTTTCATATCTTAAAAATTTATTGCAAACACACACTAACAATAAATAAAATTTTAATACCATCAAGTTAAATTGACCTACAATAATAGAAAAGAATATGCTATACATATCCAATTAAATTTCATTGACAGTAAAAAATGATTTATGATCGGTATATGTATCTTAAGTTTTTTAATAATGCACAGCATAGTTGCCTCCAAAGCAAAGCAATCTCACTAACATACTTTGAAGAACCCATGCTTGTAGGACATATATAGCATTGATTTGATTTGGATGTTTTGATCATTCATCAGAAAATATATGTGTAACCCACAAGTACAAATGATAGATATAGAGAATTGTAGGGTCAAAAGTACTTTAAATGAAGTATTTCCCATCAAAATTAGGATCCCTCTCTACCAACAACCCATGTGATCAATATTTTTTTCTCCAGTCCCTCATGTCTCATACTCATGCAGTTAAATTGATTAGTCTTTAGCACTGGTCCTATGCTAGATTCTCTAACAGGTACCTTTAAATTATTGTCCTCATGTGTTTAATTAATAACAAAACTCAGTCTCAAATAAAGGCAAATAATAAACTATACTAACACTAATGACTTAAACAAATAGTCAAAATCTACGGATAGTGGCGGAGCCAAAGTTCATTAAGGGAGGTCAAAATATAAAGAAGTAAATTCGCAAAAAAGTCATAAGATGTGGCAATATAGTGTATATACATAAAAAAAGAATTTACCTAGCTAGACAGTATAATTTTTCGATTAAGGGATAACGCTTGACATCCTTGAGTACATGTGGCTCCGCCATGATCTACAGGCAATAGTTGATAAATACGACGTTCTTAGTGACGCTAAGAGGAAACGAATTTTACTTTCAAAAAGAAACAACGATTGATATAACTGTGTGCAGGGCCAGCTCCAACCTTACGTGGAGTAAGGCTTGTGCCTTAGGCCCCCAAATTAGAGGGCCCCATTTTTAAAAAGATAATAGGTTCATCGGTATTTAAAAAATAATATTTAGTATTTTTAATACAAAACTAGAGTTTTTAATATAAAGGAAAGAAAACTTTTTAGATATATAAATAAAATAATAATTTAACTTACTCAAAAATGTGTAGATGAATAGTTTTCATAACTTTTAGTTTTTCATTTTTACTCCTTCATTAAAAAATTTGCTCTCTCTTTCTTAATTTGTCCAAGTCAATCTTTGTTTTTTTTTTCCAATTTCTTCATATTTCAGAAAAACCTACATATTTTTTGTGTTTCTCTTTGATATTCTTACTCACTTCTTTCTCCAAGATTTTATTACTCACCTTCTTTCTCCAAGATTTTACTAGTTCAATTGTTCATCAATACTTTTAAGCTTCCAATAGTTCTATACTTCTATTGCTTTGTAAAATCTTATCTAACATCAATAATATCTCAAAAAGGATTAAATAAGTTGGCTATATTATCAATCGAGCAAGAATTATCAGAGAAAATTGATTATAAAATTTATTAACAACTTTATATCTCAAAAAGTTAGAAGAAATAGATTTCAAATAAAAATATATTTTATAATTTTCTTTTAAAAATTTAGTCCTCATATTAAACTTTGGCTTTAAGTCTTGTATGTGCTTGAGCTGCTCCTAACCGTGTGTTGCACAAAATCCGTTGTAAATTTGTAGTGACATAACATCTATTTGAAACATAATATATGAGTATGTTATTCTTTACCCACCTTTATATAACCTTTTTTGGCTTTTGCTAATTTCAACTCCGAAGAAAGCTCTTTTGATGAGAGAAGGAAATAGTTTTTAAAAGGCTTTCGAGAAGAATAAAACAAATGGTTTACAGCTTATAACTGTTTGGTCAAACTTTTGGAAGAAAAAAAATAGTTTTTGAAAAGCAGAAAAGAATTATTTCTCTTCAAAAACACTTTTTTGAAAAGCACTTTTGAGAAAAATAAATTTAGAACCACTTTTAAAAGCTTGGTCAAACACTAATTGCTACTGAAGAGTGCTTCTCAAATTAAATATATAACTATAAATTTAATAACTATAACAGATTTATTTATAGTCGATATATATAATCATAAACTTCAAATTTTGGATCTCCTCTATTTACTTGTCCCTCCAAAGCTCTCATAAAGCTCATATTTTACTGAATATATGTACCATCTTTAGATTATGAAAATGAGAGGTTATCCTTCTCCAGAGAGCAAAATATAAAATTACCTTTTATGTAATAAATTCCCAAAAACATCTCTACTTGACCAACAAGTGAAAATACACTAGTTATGAGTAGACGTATAGTCTACCAAACATTTTCATCAAGTTTTAGTATTTAAAATTTGAGCTGATCTAAGTTAAAAAAAGAAGAAAAAAAATCTTCAAAAGATGCAATTTCCTACATAGTCGTAATTAATTCATGAATTCTATCCAGCATTGACAAAAAACTAGTAAATCAGCAGTCAATTTCTTATTTTAATTGTAATTAACTGGTTTTAATATCTAAATTTATAATTCTGCAATAAAACTCCCCATTACTCAAACCCGTAACCGTTTTTCTCAATAATCGCCGTCTCCCCCTCACCTACTCCCCCCCCCCCCCTCCACCCTCCCGGGGTCCTCTCTAACGGACGCGAATGCCACCCAACTCAACAAAACTGCTCAACAGCTTATATCACATTCACACCCCCCCAATCCCGAAAACCACCCACCCTCTCTCTCCCCCCACCCCAACTTCCCGAAAACCACCCACCCTCTCTCTCCCCCCACCCCAACTTCGCTCTTCTCTTCTCCATTAACAAATCTCTTCGGGGAGAATAAGTTGCAGAGTAAAAAAATCTAGACAGAGAGAATATCGCTCTTCCTGTTTTCTATCTCTATATATAGATATATAGATATCATCTTACCTATATATACACATATTCACCTTCAGATATAGCTATATTTTTGCACCTATAAATACACAAAAAAATATACACACACTCCCTTGCTGCAGAGGTTTTTGCGTGATAACAGATCTCGAGATTCGAACGGAGGAATTCCGCATTTTCTATTTGAGAAACTGTAAAAGAAATTCAACTTGGTTATTGCAATTTTTTTCTTATTACATATCGGTTCAGTTCTGTTACTTTGAACTGTTAGCATTTCCATTGACGGAGGTCTGTAGCTATTGGAGGAGTTGAATGTGATGCAAATATTGTAGAGAAGAGTTTTTTAGTTTCAGTATTATGGAGGATAGAGGAGGATCGTTCGTGGCGGTGAGAAGGATTTCTCAAGGACTTGAAAGAGGCAATACTTGCCATTCAACTTCTGGTACATTCATTTACCTAACACTACAAACATTCGCTCATCTCTCTCTCTCTCTCTCTCTCTCTCTCTCTCTCTCTCTCTCTCTCTCTCTCTCTCTCTCTCTCTCTCTCTCTCTTTTGTGGCCTCAAAATTTGTATTTCTATCTGTATGCATTACCGATTGGTCTCTATCTATGTCAGGAGTAAATTTATACTATGAGGTTTTGGATCTGTGAATTGAAAAGTTAGTTGCATTCATGCCTACTTGCATTGATATTTGTGGTGAGTTTGCATCCGCTGTTTCCTCTTTTTTTCCCTGAATTTTGTCGTGACGTGCCCTATCTTTTGGATAATCAACAGATTCATGAATTTGTTATGAACAGATTGGTTTCACAGAGTTAATAACTTAATATGTGATTCACCAGTACTTAAGTCTACTGTAGATAAAGCTGCACTGGAGCATATTTTGAACACGTCTGCATAGGAAAACTCTTTCCGATTTAGTAACAGAATTTGGTTGTGTAGGAGAAAAATATGTAGTATTATTCATCATCAGGTGCTGAACTTCAGCTATATTCAATGTTTTAGAACCATTCGGACATTTAGACAAGCTATATACCAAATTCTTGCTAGACCTTTGAAGCTAATTGCTATTCATCTGGACGTAGCTCATTTTTGGAATTTTGGTAACATAAACTGATGTAATATTGGCCTTTTCAGCTTTTCTGGAACCATTCGTTCCATTTTATTGATTCTGAATGTAGGTTTATCAAATTGTACAACTAAATGTTTTTATAAACAATTGAAAATATTATTTGCCCAGCATATTTGCAGGAAATAGTCTGCTAATATTTTCTTGATTGTATCCACGTAGCATGATGAGTTGTTTTCCTTATTGCTTAATTAAAAGTCTCATGATTTTTTATCAAATCAGATACTAGAAAGGAAACTTATGTTATAATTGAAGGACTAAGTCAAGCAGGAAGTGTCCTTTACAATTTCTACTGTGTTACTACAGCCCATGATGTTTAGGTTGTATCATAGGAACACATTTTTACAAAGCAAAATATTCATAAGAACACATTTTATGTTTATTTCCATTTTCATGCCATGTGCTATAATTTATCATATTTGCATGATGATGCAATTCAGCTAATCCTCGTTGCTTAATTGTGTACGGAGAATGACAGAAAATTTCTTGTCAGATGTGAACATGTCTTTAGATAGAAGTGCTTCTCTATCTGGTATCTGTATCATCCTTGCTCCAGTCCCACCCATAATAGAAGCACGTCATCATTGGAAAATCTGGAATTCCCATTTTCTTTATACAATCATTTTATGTTGTTACAGCAGAGGTTGTGGCAGGATCAGCAGCGTGGCTTGGCAGAGGCCTTTCATGTGTTTGTGCTCAAAGGAGGGAGAGTGATGCTCGTCCATCATTTGATTTAACTCCAGCCCAGGTAATATGTTTGTGGAGCTTATATGAAGTTTAAATATCCTGCTTGCTGAATGCTAAGATTGTCATAAAGCACAATGTAGTGGTATGCATTTCAGATCTGCTTGTTCCTTTCCTGTTGAACTTTTGTATTTCTTGGAATGACTCTCAGATGTCCTGTTGTGTGAGTTCTTCGTTTGTATTTTTCAATTTCGTTCTTATTTGTTGTTGAGTTGGACAAATGTGCTCATTTTGTGCATCCGGATATGTTGTGCTTTTTATTTCTAACTGTGCCTTGTCTTAGGCACAACTGATTTGTCAAAATATTCTGGCTTTCCATTTTAATGAGATGGGCCACGACTCTCTAGTGGGTGTCTGGCTGTCTACGTCAAATTTTCTTTTTTTTTTTCTAATGTCATGCAAAAGAATAGCTTAGCCATGGTAAGGAAGTTTGGAATGTCTTTGACATATTGGATGCTACTGATGTTTTATCTCACTTTGTTAATGTCAGGAGGAATGTCTGCTGAGGCTACAAAGCCGTATAGATGTTGCATATGATAGTTCTATCCCTGAACACCAGGTACCTTCTGTGTAAGACATTTAAGTGTTTTGCAATAAGGTTATGAGGTGATATGTTTAAGACTTTGACATTTCATTCAGGTTGTTTCTCACATTCTCATTTCTCTTTGTTCTTTTTTACCTAAAGGAAGCTTTAAAAGCTTTATGGAAAGCTGCCTTTCCTGAGGAAGAACTTCGTAGTTTAATATCTGAACAGTGGAAAGAAATGGGCTGGCAAGGAAAAGATCCTTCTACTGACTTTAGGTACATCAGCACCTCGCTCCTCCCAACAAAAAAAAAAAAGATATTCTCAAGCTTATTGCAGCATCTTTCTGATTAATTTCCCGTTTCTGCCTATTGCAATCTTGGGTCGTTTTTAAGCTGTTTGATTGATTCTGTAGGGGTGGTGGATTTATATCGCTGGAGAATTTGTTATACTTTGCAAGGAACTTCCCGGTATGTCCTCTTTAGTCACTCTTTTTGTGGGAGAAAGCCAAAATTTCTAAGCAAACGTGTACTTACTTGTAAGAGTGAGAACATCACTTGGAAAAGCTAATGTTTAGTGTCGAGATTTACTGTGATTTTGTGGCTATTGCAGACCTGACAGGTCTAGGTTATTTTTTTCTAAGCAGGTCTTATGAATTTGCATCCTGAGATTGTAGCTATTCTGATCGTTGTGTTACACTTGAGTTACTTCACTACTTTTGCTGCACGTTTTTCTTTCCTTGTGCGCAGAAAACATATGGTTTTTAATTGCTTGCTCAACAACCCTGAAAATCATGATAGTTGTTGGAGGGATGGGTTCCCTGATGTGTGGATGATCTCTGTATAACTTTCTAATGTTATACATGCAGGCACCTAGTGGTCTCTTGGTGATAGCAGCATATAAAAATTTGTTGAAATAGCTGGAAGAAGTATTTCTGTCATTAATTATTTAGTGTTAATGGCTGAAATGTACAGTAATGGGATAAATTAGTCGGAATGCTTTATAAGTTGGTTGACCAAGAAGATAAAAATGGCTTTACTGTCATGCATCTCTTTGTTTTTTGTAAAAGTGGCTAACTTTTTGATAGCCAGACAATGAAATTGCTAATCTTCATGCGCTCATTTGCGTTTTTGAACATTTCAAATCCTTAAAAGCTAACAATATTAACAAAATTGTAAGAAGTCTATGTGAAGCGATAGTCTAGTGGTAAGGACCTTTCTCCTCCAACCATTGGAGATTCGAGTCACCTGTGGAGGAGGTGGAAAAAGATAATGGTTGGGTTCCTGGGTCTTTGTGTTTGTGTGTATGTGTGTGTGTGGGGTGGGGGGGGGGGTACGA